TAATTTTTGTATTTTTCTTGTGTAGTATCAACTAGAAAAATAAGCCCCCCAAAATGTTTCTATTTACTTAATACCATCATCTCTGACCAGGTCACATGTTCCCAGAGACAACGAGCTATTAAAAAACAAAATGGGGGGGGGGAGCAATGGGGGTAAAAAGGGGACATATGTAATACTTTCAACAATAAAGAGTTATAAAAAAACAAAAGAAAAACACACAAATATCCCCTGCAACCTGCAGCCTGGGTACCAATGAGTGGTGGCAAGTCTCCTGAAATTTGATCAAACAAAAACTCTTGGCCTAAATTATTTTCTATCATTTATATTTGTATGTTTTTCCTGCCTAATGCCCCCATAGTAAGTACAGAGAGCCCTTCCTCAATACAGAAGTTTTTACAAAACTCATTAAAAATATAATACTCAAAAGATTTATGAGAGTTCTTTTGAGATATAAATGTTTATGAATTTTAATGAGAAAGAACAAATATATTTGATATAAAGGTCAGTTTTAAAAAATAAAAAAATCAGCCCGTCCTGCATGGCTCAGTGGTTGAGCATCAACCTATGAACCAGGAAGTCACAGTTTGATTCCTGGTCAGGGCACATGTCCAGGTTGCAGGCTCGATCCCCAGTGTAGGGTGTGCAGGAGGCAGCTGATCAATGATTCTCTCTCACTGATGTTTCTATCCCTCTCTCACTCTTCCTTCCTCTCTGAAATCACTAAAAATATATTAAAAAAAATAAAAATAGATTTTTTTTAACCTATAAAAAAAGAGACACATTTTTTCATACATGGAGAAACAGTTCAAAACACAGGCACAGTTACCTCTGCCCAAGCTTTAAGAACAGCCAGTTTCTCCATGGTCGTGGCACTCTCTCGGTACAGCTGGCTGGAAGATCCTTTTCCAGCCTGAACTTTGTCCAGAGAAGAAACAAGCAGATTGTGTACTCGACGAAGATCATTGAGGTCACTGACAACTCCACTTCCAATCCATGTACTACACACCTAGCCAAAGAAAATTTCAAAAATTGTTGTATAACAATATTAACATTTAATATAAAATATATTTTTTTTCTTGAGGGAAGAAACACAAAACAAAACCAATAAACAAAACAACAAAAAAATGCAAAGCTATGCTTTAATATTAGTTTTAATAACTAAACAGCAAGTATGGAATTTACTGTACAATAATGTGGAAAATAAAACAATATTTACTTGTCATGTGTCCATTGTCTAATTGGACAAAAATTTTTACCAGAAAAGATTTTCCATCTAAATCAGGTCAGTTGTGAACAATTCTTCAATTCAACAACATTTCTGTTTACTATAAGCAAAGGGTTATTCTGGGTACTATGAGATTTTTTTTTTTTAAGTTAAGGGGAGAAGATCTAGTCCCTGTCCTCAAGAAAGAAAACAGATTGAATGAACCCATGAGAACATTTATGACTATAATACTACACTTAAAAAGGAGGGAGAGATTAATTCTGGCAGAAAAATGGGAATGTTTAGATCTCAGGAAGGTTTGTGTGGATAGATATAGGGGAGTTATTACATGGGGGAAGAACTAAGAGTAGGAAAGTTAACTGAGATCAGATTGTAGCACAATTTAAATTCCATTAGAACTGAATGCAGACTTGTTCTGTAGGTAATCATGAGTTTCCAGGGCTTCTGAGCAGGGGGATATTATTAGAACTAT